ACCCTAAACCCTAACAATCCCAAACCCGAAACCCTGAACCCTAAACCCTAACAACTGTTTCAACCCGAACCTGCAAGCCTCATAGGAACCCTGCTAGGGCCCCTTGTAGAAACCCTAACGGAAACCCTGAACCTCAAACCTTAGACCTCAAACATCCCTAAACCCTATGCCGTCAAGAGCCCGGAGGTTATGCTTCCGCGGTCGCGCCTCTCTCAGAGGCATCTCGGAAGAGGAGGCGTTGGAGGAGTTGGTGGCGTTTGACCTGGTGGTTTAGGGTTTAGGAGATAAGGATTTAGAGGGTTCGGTTACGGGGTCTAGGGCTTTAGGGGTGTATGGCCCTTTCCAGGGCCCAAGGCTTTCTTGTGTTTCTGGATTTTTCGGGTTCAGGCTTTCGGGTTCAGGGGTGGGTCGGGATTGAACGAGTTCGCGGGGCTTCAACAAGAACGGGCCTCGTAGAGTTTTTCGGCGGATGATATGGGGCTTCGACAGGCTGCAGGTCTTTATGTTCAGGGCTTACAGTCTTCAAGATTCTAGGAACCTCGCCTGCAGGGTTTAGGGGTTTAGGGTTTAGGGTTTCCGGCTGACAGAGAGTGTCATGCAACCCTAGCCACACTAAGACGAGAAGAGAACCGAGAGCACCACAGCGCCCCCCAAAATCTCCGGTGGGGCTGGTTTGTCTCAGAGCTCCCAGAGACTCCAATACCCCTTAATTAAGGAATATACCTTAAATTAAAGTAGGATCCCTAATAAGTTTTAAGGTATATTCCTTAATTAAGGGGTATTGGAGTCTCTGGTTAGTCTCAGAGCTTATAAGGGATCTTGGATCAGAAGCACTAGGCCCCTACTGCTCCAATGCCCCGCAGATCAAGATTCGGGATCCAGGTAGAGCCCCAACCCAAAGACCTTGACCTGAGCCCCTCCAGTAGACCTTATCAGTTTAAGCCCCTAAACTACACCCCCGCACTCCTTCAACCAACAGCTTCCAAATTATGAGCCTGAGACCCTAAGCCCAAAGCCCTAAACCCTAAACCCCTAAACCTTAAACCCTGAACCCCTAAACCCTAAACTCCTAAACCTTAAACCCTAAACCCCTAAACCCTAAAATCCAAAACCCCTAAACCCTAAAATCCTAAACCGCTAAACCCTAAGCCTGAGATCTTTCCGAGCCGCGTCTTTGTCTCATTCATGGCCTCGTCGATGAACTTCCGAGCCGCTTCTGGCCGTTTAGGGTTTAGGGGTTTAGGGGCTTAGGGCTTCGGGGTTTCCGGGTTTAGGGGGTTAGGGTTTAGGGCTTAGGGTTTAGGGGTTTAGGGTTAGGGCTAAGGGTTTAGGAGCTTCGGGGTTTAGGGGTTTTGGGTTTAGTGGGTTTGGGGGTTTAGGGTTTAGAAGGTCAGGGCTTCGGGTTTAGGGGCTTAGGGTTTCGGGGTTTAGGGTTTAGGGGTTTAGGGGTTAGGGTTTCAAGGTTTAGGCTTTTCACAGTGGTTGCAGAGCTGTGGCTTTCGACAAGTGGGCAAGTGCAGACTGAGATGTGATGTTCATACAAGGTCCGGAAACCGAACGAGTAAATTAAGCTGCAAAACAACTACATCTGAACTTCTGAAGCAGTAGACACTCATATCCAGACTCCAAAATACCTCCGCTGCCCCTTAGAAGCGCGAACCCCGTTGACCTCATCTCAGTTTCGGCAGACCTTATCCGTGATCTCCCCTCAACCCTAAACCCTAAACCCTAAAACCCTAAATCCCTAAACCCTAAACCCCCGAACCCTAAACCCTAAACCCCTATACACTAAGCCCTAACCCTTAAACCCGTAAACCCCCAAACCATAACCCTAAATCACAAACCTAAACCCTAAACCCGTAGAGCCCTAAACCCCACAAACCTAAATCCCTAAACCGGTGATGAGCCTGTAAGTCTGAACCCCAGAGCCCAACTCTGATCATCATCATCATCACCCTAAACGCTAAACCCTAAACCCTATACAGACCCGGACCCGCTCTGGTTGTTTTCTTGGTTAGGGACTTTGTGTTTAGGGGTTTATGGCTTGGGGTTTTGGGGTTTGGGGGTTTAGGGTTTAGGTTTTAGGGCTTTCAGGCTTGGGGTTTAGGGTTTAGGGTTTAGCGTTTAAGAACCCTAAACCTTAAACCATTGACAATAAGTACTGTAGTAATGTTACAACAACAAATCATGAAACGCTATTTGCAGCAATGACAACAACGGTAAAGTAAGAATAAGAACCTTAAAGGCAAGAGTCACACTAACTTTAGAACAAAAACAAGTCATGAGACGCCAATCGCAGCAATGACAATAACAGTAAAGTAAGAAGAACAACTTTTAAAGGCAAGAGTCACACTGATGATAACGAAAAAAAGAAGCAGAAGTAATAATAACGGGTCTAGCCACGTGGCAGGGAACAAAAGAAACAGACGCTCGGCTTGGACACCCGCGGGTTTTGCAGCAGTAGCAACACCCCGCAACAATGAGTCCTTGGTGGTCTCTCTAGCGTACAATAGGAACAGATTCTTTGATTTAGGTTCGGGGTTCAGCGTCAGGGCTTTTGCCAGGAAATGGCCCTAAACCCTAAACCCTAAACCCTAAACCCTAAACCCTAAATGGCTGTGAAATAAGCGACGTGCGTCAGATACCTCTTGGACTGTAGCATCCGCCCGGAAAGATGCTTTCTGAGCTGGTCCAGCGCAACGGGGATGGGCTTAGGGTTTAGGGTTTAGGGTTTAGGGTTTAGGATTTACTTCATGTCCAACCTCAACGAACCCCTATAGACTCGGTTCCCAGTAGCCCCTTAATAATACAGGGTACCCTTGTTCCTACCATTTGGTTTTAATAAGGGAACCTAAAAAGAAAAAGGGAAAAAGGACACTGCTGGGGACCCTAGTAGAGTCCTCACAGGACCCGATAAATCTCCTCAGTCTGAACCTGCCTTCCCACTTGACAAGAACACCCCCTAGCTCCAGATCGCCTGTCTTCCACTCCAGCCAGAGGCGCAAGCGCTCTGAGGCCGTCGCAGCGACGGCCCACCCCTCCAGTTTTGGTGCTTTTGGCTGGGATTGGTAGGGCTCAGAGGGCTTTCAAAAGCATTTCAAAGATCCTAAACCCTAAACCCCGAGCCCAAAACAAACAGAGGCTGGCAGCTTGTCCGGGCCGAACACAGGGGCCACAAAGGCGCCAAGAAGTCTTGGAAGGAGTTGTTCTAAAGTTTTGTTAGGTCTATGTTAAAGGAAACTACAGGTGGGGAGTTTAGGGTATATAGGGCTTCTATAAGGCCTCCATAAGGTATATAGACCTTCTATAAGTCTCCTATAACGGCAACTACCCACCTGAAGATGTCCTAGACTATAAAGCTGAATGCTACCAAGATCGAGGCATCAAGCTAAACCCCTGAACCCTAAACCCGCAGTCTTGAACCCCCAAACCCTAAACCCTAAACCCTCAATCTTGAAGACCAAGTCGACGACTACGGAAACCCAAGGTTGACACCCAGGATCGAACCACGAAACCCTGCGGCTTTGTCACTGCCCATAGGCCCCAAAGTAGTTCCTTTTTGGGGTTACCTTATAGGATTCTAAATATGAACCCCAAAAAAGGAACTACTATGGGGCCTATGGGTGGGTTGTAGTTTTGGGGCCCTGAGAAGTATTTAGGAATAGGTACCTCTACAGGAACCATAAGGGAAAACTTCAAAGTTTCGCAAAGTGCCACCCAGGTCTTCAACTACGCTTTTTCGGTTGGCTTGGCTTGGTTTTGGCTGGCTTTGGTTTAGCTTGCTGTGCTAGGTTCCCCAATAGCCCCTTAACGATAAGGGTACCCTTTTTCCTACTCTTCGGCTTTAGCAAGGGAACCCAACAAGAAAAAGGGCAACAGGGTACTACTGGGGACCCGAGTGTGAGTAGTGTATGGGTGATCATAGGGGTGAGCATTTCTTTATGCGGCCGCCGAACCAGCGTGCGACTAAAATCCCAAACCTTCCTAAACACCATAAACCCCGAACCCTAAACCCTAAACCTTAAAACCCTAGACCTTAAAATACTAAACCCTAAACCTTAAACCCTGAACCTTGAACCCTAAATCCTAAGCCTTGAACCCTAAACCCTGAATCCTCAACCTTAAGCCCTATGAACCCTAAAGCCTTAATCTGAAGCCCTATAAACCCTAAACCTTCAACCCTGAACCCTAAACCCTGAATCTATAAACCCTAAACCCTATGAACCCTAACCCAGGATCTTCGTGGTTGGGATTTTGGGCACGTCCCGGTCTGGCTGAGGGCTTTCTTAGCTCCGGGCGCGCCCCGCACGCCCATGGGGTTTTGTAGGTCGCGTTTTTTGGCTTTAGGTTTAGGGCTTAGGGCTCAAGGTTTAGGATTTAAGGCTTAGGCTTCAGGGTGAAAGGTTTAGGGTTTAGGGGGTTAAGTTTAAGGTTATAGGGTAGAGAGTTTAAGGTTTGGGGTACAGGGTTCAAGGTTTACGTTACGGGGGTTTATGGGTCCGAAGCATACGACAGGCTTGCTCCACAAGTTCTGTGGGGGCTCCCTACTTCAAACCGTTGTGGTAGCAATACAATAGCGATCACAATAACAACAACAGTCAAAGTGACAACAACAGTTAGCCCCCAAAACCCTAAACCCTAAACCCAAGTACTTCGAACTTTAAAGACTGAATAAAGGAGTAAGGGATTTATCCTAGAGATCCCAGTCTGCAAATAGTACCTACGTTGGGGTGTGAACTCGCGGTACGATATCAGGGTTCGGATGGGCGACTCAGCTCTGTGATGCCCGAAATCCTCTACCCTGAATCCTAACCTCTGAGGTTCGACACTCATTGCCACTGCTTTTGTTGACCGGCGTGGGCCTACACTAAAATTTCAAAGAAGAAGAAGAGGAATACCGACGTGCACAGTGGCACATGGTAATTCAGCGTCTTTCATGTTATCGCGGTATATTCACCGAGGAATGAAACAGATGAAACGGAGCGGGCATCAGCAGGCAATCATTTCCGAAGCCAGATGTCGCCATCGCTCCAGCAGATCCTCGTCTGCGCTTGCCGCTGAATCTTGCCCAGTTCGACCCGATCGTTACGTTCAAACCAGACTGAATCCGACGACATGGGGTAGAGAGGGGTTTCCTCGTGGGCCGTTTTCCATTGAATGTCCCAGATGATGCTGCCGCCGCGAATCTCACCAAGGCAGGAATTGTCTTTCTCTCTATACCAATAGCCCTCCAAATCGTTCCAGAAGCTCGAATCGACCTCCGTCTCCCCCGGAGGGTTTTCTGCCTTGCCGAAGTCCTCGACAAGCCCAACCATGCAGTTCTTCTCGTGTTGAACAAGTGTTCCTTGACAACAGGGCCTCGTACATCCTTGACAACATGGTCTCGTACAGCTGCCGCAGAGCCAGCCGCTGAACCACATGAGACCAGCTAAAATCTACAGCTGTGTCGTCTAAATCCAGACCTGCTGCTGACCTATATATTACTAGCTGACCTGGACAGCGAAGTAAATTGAAGCATTGCTGTGAACTTCACTTCCAATTATCCGAGGCCCGTGGTTGCGCCGTCTCCATTACAAAAGCGATGAACGCATTGGTCACCCGTCTCGTCGAAACCATGGTCTACGCTACGCATGGACCCTGAAAAAGACCAGCTGAGTGATGCTGGCTTATGCTTTTGAAACGGCTGCGGATGCTCAGTTCAGGGCAAGCCCTAAAGATCTTCGGCGAGTCATTTCGTAGAAGTGGGCTAGTAAGCGCCCTCGCCTCGGATGCTGCTGGCGTCGGGTAGTGTTGAACGAATGCTGATACAAAGCCAATGACGACTTTCCAGCCTTCTCTGTCCTGGCTGCCAGGACGACCCAAGGCTTCCGAAGTCGAAAAGCCCGAACTTGCCCAAACCCTTGAGAGGTCTACATAAAGCCGAGGAATTTAAGGTCTCAAAGATACCTGGGGCGATCGGTATCTAAGGGTGCCTGGTGTCGGGGCCACGTCCCCAAACGGCCTCACATGTTTCTCCTATCTCAGAAACCGTGGAACAGGGAACCGATCAAATGGGGGTTTCCGAAAATAGGGGACCCTGTTATAGTACCCTAAATAGTAGGATCCTTATTACAAGGACCCCCAAATAACTGTCTGGTGCTTGGTAGGGAATGAGGGAATCGGTTATAGGGACTACTATAAGGGACCTTAAGGGACTATCATAGGGATCCATTCCCCCATTCCCTACTAAGCACCAGACAGCCTCAACCCTAAACCCTAAACCCTACAGATAAGGTACCCCTTATTTTCGGAAACTCCCAAGTCTGAATCGAACCCTCCAATTCGAGGACACAGTTCGCTCATCTTCGACATGAACCTGAGGACGGTTTCGGGTTTTAGGGTTTAGGGTTTAGGGGTGCACTGACGAACACAGTCGGCAAACGCATGGCGCTTCGATTCTTGTATGCACGCTGCTGCTTATTCAATGGTAACCAACGAGAAAACAACGTTTAGCCCTCTCCGGGAATATAAGATCGGCTCACCCACATGAGCTTCTGCCAGGAAAGTGTGTCTGTCGATGTATGCTCCACGCTCAACCTCCCAAACAACCTCAGAATCCTATGTGGAGATCGAGGTGGCCTCCACCAACACAACGGACACGACAACAACTTCACTGAAGAGTTGACCAAGATACCTTTCTTGCACAGACGGTGCCAACGGTACGGCCTTGAGTTCCACCTTCCGCATTGGATGCTTTGGAGGTTCTTGTGTCTACAGTCTGTTGCTGCCTCTGGATGGTGCGCGAAGGGCTGCCAATCGAATTCTGTGTATACATGTGTAGTTCTCTAAAATAGGGTCCCTTTTTAGGTCCCCAATATAGTACGGCACCCTTATAATAAGTACCCTAAAGAGGACCCTAATTCAGAAAACTACCCACATCCTAGCGAGCCAGTGTTCATTGGTTGAAGCCGTCGCTTCATGGGCCCCCTCGCTCTAGCAGAAATCCGTAGCAACTTTTGAGCAGTGCATCAAATAATAGGGTTTAGGGTTTAGGGAATAATTAATTGTGTAGAGCAGTAGAGCAACACAGTACTGCCAGCGAGTGCAGAACCCTAGCAGTAATTCCTGTTCCAAACATCCTACTTTGCGCAGAGTAGGTTGCAGTAAGAAGGCACTTAGGACGACAGGACCCTTTGAGATTGAGGATAGAATGCTCGCAGGAAGGGCGACCTCAAAGACAGAAGCAATCCAGTTCCAAGGTCTGGCGTTCCAACTTATGGCAAGAGCTTGGGATTGCGAGCCCTAAACCCAAAATCCTAAAATCTACCTGTAGTCTCCATTGTAGTTCCTTTTTGGGGATACCTTATAAACTCCCTAATATATAGCTGGTTACACCAAAAAAAGGAACCACAATGGAGACTATAGGTAAACCCTGAAGCCCTATAAACCCTAAACCCTCAACCGCGGGAGCTCCAAACCCCATAAGCTCCGACTCCTAATTCCCGAAGACAGTGCAGAGGAGGAGTTCTGCTCTTGCGGGGCCATCTAGTAATGTACACGCCACTTCTACCCAGAGCCCTTAGAACAAAAACGGGGAAAAGCCCCCAAACCCACGCGGCCGCATGAAACTCCTCAGACACCCGAAACCCTTCAACCCGAAATCAACCCCTAAACCCCAAGCCCGATACACACCCTCGCCTGTTCTTTCCGCCCCGCAGCTCCTCAACCTTAGACCCTGAACCCGGTGAGTGATCTGCCCTAAACCCTTTCTTTTTTTGGAACCCAGACTGAAACCCTAAACCCTAAACTCTAAGCCCTAAACCGTGGCTCAATCCTGTGGGTATTCCGGGCCCAGCACCTCCGGCCCGAAAGCAGCAGTCAAGCCGCTCCTGACCGCATCACAGATGAGCTTACGGCCTATAAGAATTCCTGCAAAGGATCCTTTAAGGGTTCCTTCAGGGGCCCAAAGCAGTATAGAACAGCGCTTATAATGACAGTCGGTTCTGACGGAAGGGAGAATTTGCAATACACTGCTGGGGCTGAGAACAGTTGCAGTAGTGAGAGGGTTGCGGGCTGAGCGTTTTTGTTGGGCTCCGGGTTTCATGATTTAGGGCCTAGGATGCTAGACATTGCGGGTTTCGGAACCACTACGGTTGATGATATACATCCTGCAGTACCCCTCACATAGTTTAGGGCCCTTGAGGTAATGCAGGAACTGTATAAATAAAATAAATAAATAAATAAATACATATATATATATATATATATCAACAGTAGCACCAAAAACACACTCCACAACTCTCGGATCTAAGGCCCTGACATGATCGGTTCGCGGTGGAGCCGGTGAAAGGACTCCACAAAATCCTCGAAGATAGTTGCCTCAGCACTCAGACATCCCCAAACTCCTTGATTAAGGAAGATACCTCAAGTTATAGTAGGATCCCTTAAGTGAAATCAGGTATCTAATTATATAATCGCTTCCGCTTTTATTAAACACCCCCCTAATAATCAAAACACATTCAGGGCGAATCTTCACGAAATCATCTGCGCCCTTTGAGACCTGTTCTGAATTAGGGGGCACCGGGTTTCGAGGCTCCAGTTACCCTTAGAGTAAGAGCGAGAGCAAGGGCAGCAGCAAGAGCAAAGCAAAAACAAGAGCCGGAGTAAGAACAAAAGCAGAAGCAAAAACGGGAGCAACAACAAAAGCAGAAGCGAGCGCCCGAGAAGCGGGAGCAAAAGCCAGCGCCGGAGCAAGAGCCAGAGCTGGAGCAAGAGCCCAACCCTTCAAAAGTCGCAATAGAAAAACTACCACTGATGAAAAAAACACTTTTACCAGTTTTCATTGAGGGGGGGGACCCCCGTTCAATACTTGGGGGAAGCAATTCTCCCTTAATCAAACGGGTGGTTGTCAAAATTAGGGTCCCTTTCTGGGTACCCTAAGTATTAGGTGCCGTATTATACATCCTAAACCCTAAACCCTAAACACCCAAATAGGGATTTTAGGAGGTCTCGGCAGCACTGGCAACAGGCGAGTGGAGGTCTCCGCTCGGAAGCTTTGGGTGGCCCATACCCATACATTTAGGGTTTAGGGTTTAGGGTTTACTTAGAGGCCAGGGGGCTTAGTAGGGTTACAATTGGGGTAACTCCATTTAGGGTACTTATAACTCCACTTATAACCTACTTGCTAAGTCCCCGGGCCTCCAAGTAGGCTCCATAGTAGTTCCTTTTTGTGATTTACATTGAGGATCCTATAAGGTAATCCCGAAGAGGAACTACTATGGAGCCTATGGGTAATGTGGGGGCCCTAATGATTAGAATCGGGTTTTGGGGGGTTCCTCTTAAGGGTTTCTTAAAGGCTTGTATAGGGGCTAGTTCAAAGGAACTACAGGTGGGGAGTTTAGGGTATATAGGGCTTCTATAAGGCTTACATAAGGTATATGGACCTTCTACAAGGCCCCTAGAATGGTAACTACCACCTGAGAATGTCCTAGACTAGTACCAGGATTTAGGGTTGCTAAGGGTTTACGGTTTGTTAGTTGGCCTCCCACCTAGCTAGGACGAGCCTGCTTTAGGGTTTAGGATGTACCTGTAGTCTCCATTGTAGTTCCTTTTTGGGGATACCTTATAAAATCCCTAATCTATAATTGGTTAAACCAAAAAAAGGAACTACAATGGAGACTATAGGTAGGGTCTAGGGTTATCGACTCCATGGTTGTTTTTTTGGAGGTCCTAAATCCTAGCTGTGTAATCATATAACTTGTCAAACCAAATAAACGGACTGCAACCGAGACTATAGGTACAACCCCTACACCCTAAACCCTAAACCCTAAAGAAGCTATTGATGCCCTCTATCCCTGAACCGTCTGATGTTCGGCCCTAAACCCTAAACCCTAAACCCTAAAAGGCTTTCCCAGGCTGCGCCCTGAAGATCTGGGCTCTCGAAGTCGAGGAGCCGCGCGCAGCTCGCCAAGGACGCTCTGCTCCCATTTCAACTCCTTTCGGGGGTTTAGGGTTTAGGGTGTAGGGTTTAGGGTTTAGGGGAAGAAGTTGGTCAGGGGGTCAATTAGCTTGGCTCTGCATTTCTTGCTCTTTCGGCAAAGATCTGACATGATACCGAGATGCTACAAGCAAGTCCTGTGGTTTCTGGGGCCATCAGAAACACAAGTTGTGTCCGGCAACACTCGACCTATCCGCCCCTAATCCTACTCGCTTTTCAGTTCAGCGGCTGTTGACAGGCAGCTACACAGATCTGGGCCTTAATCTTGAAGGCGGCCTGGAGATTGCTGCCAGCCCCCAGCCCGTGATAACGATGATAAGGCGATATGGGTAGTTCTCACAAATTCATAACTTCGTTTTTAGGTCCCCCCCAAAAAAACGGCACCCGTATAAGGAGGACCCCAAACGGGACCCTCATTTTGAAAACTGCCCTTGTATATCGCAG